ATTAATTGATATTTTGCTATTCATTTTTTTTTAATGTAAAAAATATATGTAATTAACATCCATGTTTCTCTTTGCTCAGGGTAAAACTGTTCTCAATGGATTCAAGTTAAAGGCAAAGTTGAAAGCACGAGTTATTGGTTACAGGGAGATGAAACAGAACAAGAGTCTGATTCTTACTAATCAGTTTACTCAACTAGGCCTAGAGCTTAGTATAAAGCCAAGGTACACATCAACAAGATACACTGTTTGTTTTAAGCTAATAAACTTCAATGTAATTCAATATATGGTTAGCTTACCTTGTATATTTAAGCAGGGTTTCCTTAGTTGCCAAGGTTACAATATACTACTCATATGTAGATGGGTTAGATTCAGTGGTTCTGTTTCCCAACCTTGAGGTCAGAGGTTCAATCCCTCGCTCTGCATTCTGCTTGTGTCCTTGGGCAAGGCACTTTACCTACGGTTATCTCTCTCCACCCAGGAGTACAAGCGGGTTACCTTGTAGGCTCAAACACAAAAATTCGCAGATTACAGCTGCAACATCATGGAATTCTCCCCAGGGAGCTGAGTATGCGTTCCATATGTGCTTGATCCAATGACCGGGGGTAATAGTGTGAAGCGCTTAGAGGCCTTGTTGGCAAGAAGCTCTTTATAATTACTGTATTATTATTTATAATTCATACAAACAAGAAAAGAATAATAATTAAGCTCATGATAATTACTGTGTTGAAATAATTATTATTAAATAACTATAATTTTTAATGAACTACTTTTAAAGGTAATTGAAAATATAAATAATAGTCATGATTTGCATTCTAATATTTACCATCTAAATTTTTATTTTTCAGTAAAATCAAAGAAGATTATGAAGTTCCTGAAAGACATGTGTCAGCCAAAAAACAATTGCATTCATTTGAGCCTGGTCAAACGGTCACTGTCTTTGTCCAACAGGTAGATCCTCCTCTCATATGCAATAACCATTGGTAATTGTATATGCGATATGAAATATCCATTGATTTTTAAAAATGTTAATCTGCTGTGATAAATTAACATTTTTTAAAGTAAACTTTAATTAGAGAATTTTAAGTTTATATATTTATCCTAAGTCACTGTAAATTTATGGAATGTTTTTTGTTTGAAATGATGTTCTGGTGTGATAAATTAACATTTTTAAAGTAAATTTTAATATTAGAATCTTAAGTTAATATATTTATCCTAACTCACTGTAAATTTATGGAATATTTGTTTGTTTGAAATGATGTTTGGGGAGACCAACTTTTCAGCACCATTTTCAATTGCAATTTTTGTTTTGTTTGTTAAGCTTGTCTTATGAGAGAAAAATAAATGAAATGAAATTGAATAATTGAAGTAGTGTAAATAAATAAGTTCATGTTTAAAAGTAAAATGCAGTGGTAAACGATTAACTCTAGTTTACACTTCAGACTGAATGTTAAGCCATGGTCATTTGTACTTTGTGTTCTTTAAATGGCTATGTGCATGAAAGATAATTTTAAAAAATTCACAGCATGTAGGACGGTCGCCACTTTAATTGATATTTATTATCTTGCAGTTTTGCAGCAATATTCTTTGGGTACATGTTACCCCATATGTTGGCGGGAAGATTCATCGTCTGAACATCTCCAAGAAGTTGTCGGTATTGACGGAGCCTGTGAGGCATTTTAAGAAGTCAGGACAGGCCATACAAGCAAAGGTTTTAGGTTTAGATGATGAAGAGAAGGTGCTACAGCTAACGATGACAGGTGAGCCTAGATGTGTTGATGGCTTCATTTGTACAGTGATAATGCTGATGGGAATGATGATGATGATGATTATTATTACATTATTATGAATACAATGACGATAAAAATGTCTTAAATGATTACGATAATAGTAGTGATGATTATGATAATGGTAGTTATGATGATTATCAGAGGCTGATCTAGGATATTCAAAATGACAGGTGACCTATGTCTTTTATTAGAGCAAAGTGAGGGGTGTAAGCAGGGAAATGATGTAATAGGGAGACAATTAATAGGAACAGTTATACTTGGATTATAAAAGGCATAATATAAATACTAATATTATTAATATTTTAAAAATATTTTGTCTATTAATTATCTTTTGCTATTTAGGAGAAGAAAAGAAGGAAGTAAAGGAAAAATCAGTAGTAAATGGGTGTGTAAAAAAGGTGCTAGCCGATCGGTTGTGTATTCAATTACCCTTTGGGTGCTTTGGTAGTGTTTTCATCACAGATATCAGAGATCACTTTAAAGACCGCCCTCTGGAGGGATATAAAGAAGATCAGTATGTGAGGTAATATTTTAAATTGTATTTAAATTCTTATTTTTGAATATTTTATCTCTAGCAGTTCTTAAACTTATTTTGCTAGATTAAAAATCTGTAGAATATTTTTAGTTAATTAGTATTAGTAAATAATAATTGGTAATTTGAATTTTAATATTTCATTTGAATAGATGTGCTGTTTTGGATGCCAAAGATAGACAACATGTGGTGCTGTCACTGCGGCCTTCACGCATTAGTAAACACAATGACCCTGGTGCAGATCAAGAGGTCATGACCCTTGATGATGTCAAGGAAGGATCGGTGGTCAAAGGATACGTATCTGAATGTAATGAACAGGCATTGTTTGTATGGTAAGCAAAGACAATGGAATCTATATTACCAATGTTTTGAAAGTAATAATTTCTTGTTAGCCCATGTTATTCCTTAATGCTTGTTGCAAATGTAAACATCCTTTGCCCTTCATCCTGTGATTTGCTATGAAGAGCAGCTTCATTTTAATCTTTGTCCACACTATCAAAAATGTGATATGCCCATATTTGGCTGTAATCACCTCATCATTTGTCACATAAAATGGGATACTGTAGACAAAGCTTATATGAAACAATGATGAACATAATAAAACAAAGAATAACCGGGAAACATATTAACAAGTATATTTTTTCCGCAGCTTGTCTAGAACGGTGACTGGGACTGTGAAACTTAATCAGGTATCAAGTTATTATGTTGAAGACTTTGCATCTGTGTTTCCAGTCGGTACACTTGTATCAGTCAAAGTTCTCAGGTTAGATTTTGTTTTCTTACTCATAAAAAAATGTTTATATTTTTTTAAAGTGTAGTTACATCCAACAGCGTAAGTTCAACAATAATATAAAGGAAGTACCTTATCCTCCAGAATGCTAAGTTAATTTTTTTTAGAGGGCTGCATTTATTCTCAAGAGTAGGAAATCCACTAGAGGGCAGCATTTATCCTCCAGTGTGCAGTATTTCTTCTCATTATATTCACAGTGACTGATGCATTGCTTTATCTTCTTTAGGGTGAACAAAGATAAAGAGAAGGTATCGCTGTCTATGCTGCCAAAGGACACGGAGCTGCCAGATGCAGTACCTGAACATCTTAGAGGTCATTTCAAAGTTTCTAAGAAAGGTCAATATGCTAATTATTTTTATGCATTATTCATATTAATTTTATGTGAGATGTATTTATTCATTTTATATCCTTTTAATTATATACATATATTATTTCATCCCAATAAAGACTCTAAAACCCCTAGCAAAAGATATAACTTTTTCTTGAATTTTGCATTTTCACTGATATGCAGACAGTATAAATGTAAGTCTTCTTTTCATTTTAGAATCAAGAAAAAGGCAGCGCAAGACGTCTGCTAATCGAGAATCCGACGACAGTGGTATGGAGGAAAATGAATCTGAAGATGAGGTAAGACTAGGTCCACACATGCTCACAAATACTGAAGTCATTACAAGTCAGGCAGCAGACAGGCAAGCAAGCAAGCATGGTGACACAAATTCATCCTGACTGCAACATTCATGCACTGACAATGTTCCCTTTCAATTCTCCTAGTCAAAACTGAACTATAGAACTGTCCACATTTTAATTTTTATGGTTGTTTCTACAAACACGATGAAATAATTAAAGTTTTGAATACTTGTATTATTATTAGTAACCTGACACTGATCCAGCTAATCTTCATACACTGGCACTCTTGTGCTGCCGTGGCAGCCATTTTGTTTTTATATGAATGTTTCTGTCTTCCCTAGTTAGCAATCTATTAATCTTAAAATAATGTTAATTAATGTATGTAGATAATGACTTGGAATTTTGACATTATGCTCTATTATTTTTTCCCCGTGTTTGTTTTTAGATGGTAGCAGCAGCAGCTCCAAGGCTTACTCTGTCATCTGGGTTTTCCTGGGATGTGGATCTGTCTAAACTTGGACAAATGTCTAAACTAGGTGCTGGTGATGATGAGTCTAGCAGTGAAGAGGAAGATGACGTGGTACTTGACTGAATCAACAATTGTTGGATGGACTAAAGCCCTGTTCAGACTATCAACATTTATTTGAAAAAAAATCACATGACCATATATGGGAACATCCTTACCATATATGGGCAATATGGACATACAGCAGTTTTTTGTCAAAGAAAATGTGATAGTCTGGGTTTAGCTTAAGTCTCATTATAATGATTAATCTGGGCATATTTTTTATTAGACTCAACAAACAATATAAAAGATTTTATCACATTTTTACAGATTTTAAGTGAAAATATCCTTCATAACTTTCAGACAATATTATATTATCCTATGATATATACAGTAAAACGTTTATTTTACGTACCCCTTGGCACCAAGGGGTGTTCGTAAAATTGAAAAATTTGTAAACTAGATCGGGTGTCAGTTTCCAATACCTAGGCCTAGCTATCCCTGCCATCGAGCGCCGATATGCTGACGGCTGCCAGGCCTAGCACAAACCGACAGTGCAGCAGCGTGGTCTACCGCACTAGAGCCTAGCTGAATTTGCCTTCGATAAAAACCAAATTATTTTAATCACTGGCATTCTTCCATTTAACAAAATATTATTTTAACGCGTATTCAAACATCTGTATGTTCTATGGCCGAATTGTGTTGTTTACATGCGTTTGGCGATCATATCTAGCATTCACGATGTCAAGTAAGTTGCTGACCCCAACAAACTTGTCAATCCGACAACAATCTGACAACACTTGTGTTGGTAGTTTGCTGTTCTGGGTAGGTTTATTACATTAATATAGCAATTAGACTTTTTTTACTGTAATAATTGGTTGAGGATGGCGTCATCAGGGGCAAAGACCATTCGTAAAATCGACTATTCGTAAAATCAACATTCGTAAAATGGATGTTTTACTGTATTTTAATAAAAATATTCTCCACAGCCACCCCAGAAAAGGGCAAAGAAGGAGAAGAAGAATGAAAAGAAAAATGAAGAAGCAGAAATCCAGCGTGTAAGTGTTATTGTCTTTTAATTTTATTGATTGATTGAGTGATTGATCGAATGACTGACTGTTTGATGGATTGACAAATTGATTGATTTATTGATTGGTATGTTGATAAATTAACTGGCTGCTTGATTGATTATTTGATTGGTTGATTGATTGGCATATTGATTGATTTATTGATCAGTTTATTGGTTGAGTGATTGGCTCACTGATTTATTTTATTTCGATACCTAACCAACAGAAAATGAAATTCGCCAATAACAATAAAATCAACAACAAAAAACGAAGGCCTACGTTAAAACAATACGAAATAATAAATGCTAATTTATATATTTTCTAATTGATTAAATTAGACTGAGCAGGCTCTGATGCAGGAAGATCGTACACCAGAGACAGCTGAAGATTTCAATCGGTTGGTTCTTAGCTCACCAAACAGTTCAATGATTTGGATCCGGTACATGGCTTTCCACCTGCAAAACTCAGAAGCTGAGAAAGCAAGAGCTGTTGCTGAAAGGGCACTGGAAACTATCAATTTTAGGTATGTAAATTGACTTATAAAATGGACCTGTCAGCTAAGCCCCGCCCCTTGGATTTTGTTGCTAATATCCCACAAAACAACGGTGGAAAATTACGAAACCATGTGCGTTTTGTGGGACAACACATGCTTTCGGGAGGCACGCTTTTTAACGCTATGTATGCGCCAGAAAAGGCGCGGTACAGAATACCTGGAAATTACTCTGGAAAAGTTCATTTCGTATACTGTACTTCAAATAAACAAGAATATTTTAGATTTTTAGCATGATCCCATTGATTCGATTAATTATATTTTTCTTTGTAGGGAAGAACAAGAGAAATTAAACGTGTGGGTAGCCTACCTAAACCTTGAAAATCTCTATGGAAATGAGGAAACCTTAATCAAGATTTTTGAGAGAGCTCTGCAGCAGTGTGAACCAATCAAAGTATTCCAACAACTTATTAGCATTTATATTAGAACAGATAAAAATGAGGTAAATATGACATTTTCATAGCAGGTCAAATGAGATTATACTTCATTGTATAATTTTATTTTCATTTATTTAGTTGATATAAAAGCATAATATATATGTACTGTAATTGGTATAAAAAGTATTTTATTTATTTAATTGATGTGTATATATATGTACTGTAATTGGTATAAAAGGTATTTTATTTATTTAATTGATATGTCTCATTAGTGGAGATATTTTGAATCTGTACTCGATGTTCACAGTGGAATTTTAACGCATACCACTATTAAAATTGTTTCATAACTTACATGTCAATCTAGGCGGCTGATCAGCTTTTCGGTACGATGGTGAAGCGTTTCCGTTCGGAGAAAGATGTTTGGATCAACTACGGATCCTTTTTAATGCGAAATGGCAAACAGGACGCTGCGCATAAGTTGATGCAGCGTAGTTTCAAGAGCCTTGAAAGCAAACAACGTAAGTTTGCCAGTATAACTTTTTGAAAAATATTTTTGTGATGCCTGATGGTAAGGAATATAATATTATTAGTTTTGCATAACATCCTTATTAATATTACGTTATTAGGCCTATGAATTGGATGTTTCACTTGGTTGATTGTAGTTGACAATCCATTTCACTAACAGAATAGAATAGAAAAATACATGTGGCTAGAAGTAGAAGTATAGTAGAAAAAGCCTCATGTATGGAAACAATTATAGAATATAGCTTCACATTGGTTCCTTTTGCAAAATTTCCCCTGTACATAAGCATTCAAACCCTGTACACTGACAAAAAATGTAGTTTTAGTATAATTTGGAGGTTTTAGGTGGGAAAATATGATCAGATTCTCTCACTGTTTTACACCAGATGTTGATGTGATTGTGAAATTTGCTCAGATGGAGTTCAAATGCGGTGAACCGGAACGTGCGAAGACTATGTTTGACAACGTCCTGTCAAGTTACCCCAAGCGCACAGATATTTGGTCAGTCTACCTGGACATGGTCATCAAGCAAGGTGACCCTGTAAACACAAGGTTTGTCAGTGTATTATTCACATTTTGCGATGTCTTGATTGTTCTCAATTTAACTTTAGCTCAACCACAACAAGCCTTCTATACTTTGTTTAGCAAAATTTTTTGAAATATCTACAGAAACAAGTGGAAAAATATAATAAAATTTTTTTTGTTATATTGGCAAAATATTTCAGCCAAAACATCTAAACCAAAAACACTATTAATTTAGGAATGGAGTATTACTTTTTATAAGATGTTATATTGTGGTTTGAAAAAAAAATATTGTTTTTCTTTGGATACGAACCTAAGACCCTGCAATTACTGCTCGGTTGCTCTCTCAACTGAGTCATGAGGTCAAGCTAATAAACTCTCTTGGATTTTTCTATTAGAACATGTTATTCCCAAAGTATTGCATAATATGCAATAAAAAAAATAAATTAGTGTCTCTTCCTCTTTTGCAGGAACTTGTTTGAGAGAGTCATCAGCCTGGAGTTGCAGCCTAAAAAGATCAAATTCTTTTTCAAACGATACTTGGATTATGAAAAGAAGTTCGGGGATGAAGGTAGAGTGAAAGCAGTGAAAGCAAAAGCGGTGGGATACGTTGAGAAAAAGTCATCAGTTCTTACATGAGAAAAGATTGGAAATAGTCAATAAAATTGGAAAGGAAAATATTACAATATCATGTCTTTGCCTCATAATCAAAACATTTTAAAATCTTTCTGCAGTACTTAATGATAATGATTATAGTAGGAGGCAACTGTTGAATCAAGACCAACCCAAGAGCGTGTACAATGTAAACTACTGATAAATACAAAACTATGACAAAACTATCATTCTGAATTTCGCGATTTTCGCGCGCCCGTAATTTTCACCATCGTTGTTTTATCGCGAAAATTAAGGGCGCGTGAAAATAAAGGGCTTTACAGTATACGGTATTTATACAAAAAGCTCTGTGTTACAACAGACCATATAATTCTGAATTAAAACCACAAGTTATGCCAATACATTACAAATTAGAAAAGGTATGTCTTAAACCGATTTTATTTTTTTTGCTATGTCGGCCTTACCAAGAAGATTGTTCCCTTTTGTGGAATGGCTAGCAAATGCCCTGTGATCGTAATTGCGGAGAAAGTAGAAAAAAGTGACACTAAAGCTAAATCTTAAGGTGTGTGTAGGTACACATGGTTGCAACAGCTCTCAGGCCAATGCATCTCTGTTAAGAAATTGCTTCTAAACAGGGAGCCATTGTAGATGATTAAGAAGCTATGATTTTGTGACATGTCTTCCAACAGATATGCTGATGTGTTTAACAACCAACCATTATATAACTTTAATCACAGGTTTAAGACATTTATGGATCTATGTCAATCTAAGACCAAGAAAGGCCCAGCAAAAATACAAATGGCTGCTGTTAACATGCCATCACTGCAAGGCACATTAAATTTAGAATGGTAAAATAATGAGGACAAGGACATCTGTTGCAGACTGCCAATATCAGAAGGGTTGACATTCACCATTTATAAATGTGACCCACCAAAAATAATACAATGTCATTGCCTAAAAAAGCTGTTTTACTATAATTTTGTTTCTAGTGACCAAAGAATATTTTGCAGTCATTTTTGGCTAAGTGTGTAGTAATGTAATCAACTTCGTACATGTATTAATATCAGTTTTCTTTGTCTCCTAGTATTTCCAGGTTTATTCACTCAGTCCACTTACTTTGATAGAAATTACTACAGTTGTTTTCTGGTACATTTTGAGTCTCAATTGCGTTGTATAATGCATCAAACAGTTGAGTATTCCCATTACTACACACCGCTTTTATTGTGTATATTTTATTTTAAACTGCGAGATCACAAACCCTGTCTAGCGCCCTCTGTGGCTACTATCAGGTTTGTTGGTACAGTCACAGACGTAGGCCTATCATTAGATTTAAAATCGGAAACAAGTGCGTATTTGGCATAAAAGCTGAAGTAAAATGTATCCGTTTTATCGTATTTGACAGTACGGAAATTAATAAAGAAATTAACGTTAAATATTGTATACAAGCGTCGGCATCTAAATTCATTGATTCAATAGAAGACCTGACTTACTGCCTATTGAAAATCCTGTTACTGTATTCATGCTATTGTAGTGAAGTAGTTCGGTGATTCAGTTTGTCAGAATAACGATTGTGGAAGTGCAATCACTTAATAGTGATCTAAAATGTGTATTACTTTCCAAGAAACATCGTACTTGAGCACTTCGTGTTGGTTATGGTGATCGTCACGTATGCTTACAAATATCTGCCAATTCTCTTTAGAAACAATTCTTACTATTATTGCTGAAAAATAGTGTTTTGGAGTTTCATTTCAATCAATTAAAGGCACATGTGTCTTACAAAGAGATGATGCTCATTTAAACAATAATTAAAACAGAAGGATGAGAGATGGAAAACAGTAAATAAAATCGTGTACTTTAGATTTGAAACGTCCAACTGTTTCAAGTAGAAGGCCTACTCTACAGCCTGATAAGTGAAGTTCATTCCATAAGGAACGGCCAACAAATGGGCTAGCCCCAACGTGTCTTGCCTACGTAGAGATTCTTGTAATCGGATCTAAACGCTTATATTTGTCATGTGTAGTTTTATATGTAAGCTTTACATATATTTTGAATATGATTTTTAGACAATAAAGTTAAATAAATACGTAAATATATTGTAAGCATTATACCCCAGTGTCTTATGGTAATATCACGGTGCAATGCTTCTTATATGGAAGTTTCGCAAGAAAATACGAAAAAAATAACGAATACTGTTGTGTAACTCGTTTTTCACGCTGTAGAGAATCTTTGCGGGCCTTGTACAGTACTTGGTATGACGGGACGTCTTGTTTTACGATGAGTAGTTGACAGTTCACTAGGAAAAAGCATTGATTTGTAAGCTACAGAAAATAAACCTACCATTGAATGACTTGCTACATTTCTAAACTTCTCTATAAATATTTAAAGTTTTTATTATTTCCTATAGTGCAAAACTCAATACCGTTACATTAAGCCAATACAAGTTTACGACTAGTCGATGGATTTATTACTTAACAAAAGAGGGCGGTAATCAAATTTTACATCTCATTCCCCGTCAAACGCTAATGGTCCATACAGCACGAAATGAATACATGTGATCTGACCTTAAAATTGGATACAAGTATGTGACTTATGTATGAAAGTAAATGATTTGTAAAATGAGTCGCAGACTGAAGGATTTTAATTAAGCGATCGGTAGATAGCGTTTGCTTGTAAGTGACAAGGAATCTGTCCCAATAGATGAGATTTAATCATCACCGTAGCCCCCTGTCATGTCGATAACGCTGTTGTCTTCGAGCAGATCGAACAATTAAAATGACAAAGTAACATGTATGACGTTTAAATGATAACTGCATATGGTAACCACAGTACTCAGTACTTTGGAACTATATTAAGATATAAAATAATATTGTATACCGCGATAGTACAGTACGGTATTGTTTTATTTATTCATTTATTTTTTATTTCAAACACAACAGCAATGTATAAATACAATCAGAACAATCGAGAAATATAAAAATATACAATTCATGATAAGGTAAAAGACATTTAAAAAGGAATGCATTCACTGTAGACCTAAATATTGCTTTGAGATTATATTATATTGTTGTTATTACTATCACAGCCATTATTATTATTATTATTATCATTATCATCATCATTGCCATCATCATTTATGCACTATATTTCAATTATCATTCCTTACTAGATTACTAAAATAAGTTGTAAGCCATCATGTACTTTGTAGCAAAGCTAAATTGTAGTACAGGAAGCAAAAATATAACATACAAAGGGAAACATCCAGCAAAAATCACGAAAGAAACATGATGACACAGCAAACATCTCACATTAAAAACAATACAGTACAACGGTCATGAATAAATTGAGATGGAGTCACTGTCTACGTTGGCGAAATATTGAGACACATTAAAGATAATCATAATCTGTTCATCTAAATTAATATTAGGCCCTATGAGAGAGTAATTATGGTTTAAATGATCGTAATCTGCCATTTAGTTACACAGGCGCAATATTGGTCATATCAACATAGTATATAAAAAAAAAGCAGAGATATCATTACACATAGGTGGCATGTCAAAATCAACAACAAAAGTATAGCTCAGTATAATATTGCTTATTTTTATATAGCCTACTTTTTAAACAGGGAACAGTAGAATTATTTAAACTACCGTAAATGCTTACTTTTTTGTATACGTATGCCTATGTATACCGTATACCTACAGTACTGTGCTTGGTTCAAAGGCCTATTAGTAACTAAGCACAGTAGGCCTTTCAAGGGTGAACCAAGAATGACAATTTCCACCGTCAATTAATTTAGTGGAGATGTAGGGCGGTGGCTTGCCTTCCAATCTCATAGTTCTGTGTTCAAATCCTGTGACAGCTATGGATTTTTTTCTCAACTTTAAAACGCCACTTCCTAAGCCTTAATACGTCTTAGATTATAAAGCGTCACATTTATTTGAGAGCGCCCTGGATACCAGCTTTCCTTTTAGGATAAGCTGAAAATGTAACCCTCTTTAGGCCTAACTATTGTATAAAAAAAACCCCCAATAGCACAGCAGTAACAATTTAATTATAACATCTGTAAATCATCAAAAACGGAATTGTTTCGATGTGTGTCTCTTTGGAAGAAGATAACTTGTTTGATCTTTTTAAAATAGGCAATTTTATGTATTTAACCGAGGGTTTCCAAGTGTTATGACAGACAATATAGGGGTGGGTAGGTCTAAGACTATCTTTAGGGGTGGGTAGGTCTAAGTCTATCTTTAGGGGTGGGTAGGTCTATTGATTATAGTGTGAAAGGTGGCTGATAAGCAGAAGAGAGACCATTCGTATGGAGAGTTTGAAATTTATTAAATGAACATGTCTCTACCTCGTGTAGTTGATAAGTGATATCCGTCAAAACAGCAACACACACACATCCACCCACGAACAAATCCCTGACACCCGCCTCCCTATATGTCGTCCCCAAATTGTCAAGAAATATTACAATAATATTTGTCAAAGCCGGAGGATAGGCCTATTTATGGTGGACAATTTTTGTGACGACTGGTTAAGCCGAGGCGATAATATTATATTGTGTTCGGGTGAGTTTGATTGATTGGCTTAATGTACGCTCATTCGTCCCTCGATTGATTTGTCTGCGTTAAATCTAATTTTACTTTTTGGTTTTCATACAAGAGTCCATGTGCGTTGTTGATGTTGAAGGAGTTTAATGATCATTTCTTATAGTCTATCGTTATACTGTACAATCTTATCCAAGTGTATTTCTGGGGAGGGCTTAACCACCGAGGAGTTATATTAATGTGTTATTATTTTTTTGTAAATGATTATAAGGCCTATAGGCCTATTCGTTTAGCGGGGCCGGTGGGCGTGGGTGCGCGATGCGAGGAGGGTTTGGTGATAGACATTAAGAATATATTTAGAGTGGTCAGTGGGCCTCTCATTACGGGGACCACCACCACCACCTCTTCATGTCAAGATGACCAAATTGGCCCGTCGATAATAGGCCTACTTTAATTGGTAATACACTTTGCGTTGCGGTCCTTAGAGAGCTATCGACACGTTTATGAATGCACTGAGCAGACTATAGACACGTTTATGGTTGTCGTGAGTCAAGATTTAAAACGCTTATTAGTAATTTCGTTGTTTCTTTGTGGTACACCCTACATCTGGAAAATTTAAGACGGGAATATGAAGTTGATATCTCAATGAAGAGATCATTTTCAGCGACTCAAGAAATTTAAATCCCCGCAGACTACGACTGAAAGACAAAAATAAACAAACCGTCCTGCAGTAACGAAAAGATAAAATCCCACGAGAGCTGTAATCTCCAAGTTACCGAACCTCAAGCGCATAAATAATGTAGATACTTGGCCGGGCTGGCAGCGGCCGTGTCCTAAAATACATCATTCGAGTTTGATGGGGTATGCCTAGAAATTAATTGATATAAGTAGCAAATTGAGACCAGTATCGAAGGGTAGGTTTTCACTCGATTTATTCTTTAATGGAAACCAGATCCCGGCTTCAAATATCTTGAACCCTTGAGATATATACTTGGGATCAGTGTTCAAAGTAGCCAAATCAATTGACAATGTGACCACTATTAAACTTGTACTTGTAACATTTTAGAACTCATTATTTATAATTAATTATTTTGTCACGTGTTTCAATCTGAAACTCAATTAACCACGCTGTCCTCAAAACTTACATCGGTTACTCAAACCGATAAACTAAGCATAACTGTATGATTGTTTGTTATGAATTTTGATGAGGAAAAATTAAATCGTTAGACAAGCACTAGACAAAAAAAAAAACAAAAAAAAAACACAAGATATTATATATTTCAAGTTTTTAGCGATGATCGATGAGTTACGCAGATTAAGAACCCAACGTGTCGATCACCGATTGGTTAAATTGATTGTTATCATTAATTGGATTTTCCAATAATACTTAGCAATAAAGGATAAAATCAAAGTAAAACATTATAGAAAGTAATTACAAAATATGTCAAACGCATACTATAGGCATACGGTATTAATTATGAGGCTCAAATCATCGCTCTCCGACCTATTTCCATTTCTATTTTGCTTGGTCTAATTATAAAATCTCGGCTGTGGGATTAAACACATAGTAACCCTCAATATTTAAGCTTATGAGTACAGTATGATCAATATGTTTTTTTTTTTTTTGTTTTTTTTTTGTTTTTTTTTGTTTGGATTTTTTTTTGTTTTGTTTTGTTTTGTTTTTTTTTTTGTTTGTTTTGCGTTCGGTTTGGGGATAGAATTGCTTATAGGCCTACCTACTTAAATATTGAGGGTTATTAGGCGAGTCGATTGGCCGAGCGGTTAAGACAGGGGAACCGTGACATACAGCCATAACATTCGGCGCTGGTTCGAACGGCACGCTCGCCTATGGTTCCGGTGGTGGAACAAGTCTTCTCGGGTAAGGACTCTAAACCGTAGGTCCAGTGTATACAATTGGCTTGTGGGCACTTTAAAGAACCCTGTACATCTTTCGAGACGAGTAAAATAAAGTTTAATTTGTTTTGAAAGTATAGCCATCACCAGCTTCAGTGTTTTATGGGTAATTTGTTTCCATGTTCTCGTAAATCTTCCAAGAAGAGTTGAGTTGAATCTACAGATTTGCCCTTACTTAAGTAAAAAAATACGGTAATAATGAACTTACCACAATGTTAAAATAGAAATAGGATCGCTTACATAAGAATTCACCAAGCATTCCCCACTCCCAAATTTCAAGAATTTAGCATAGGCGAGAGCTTTCGTTACGTGAGGGTGTGGGTTGACGAATGTATTATGTGGAAAATGGGGGGAGGGGGAGGGGGTAGGTTAGGTTTATCATGTACCGTACATATAGTGTTGTTTCTATAGTATAGGCCTACTCGTCCTAACATGGTTCAAAAGAATTTGTTCTAAAATTCTGTCCACACTACCAAATTTTATGTGACAAAGAATACGCCCATATTTGGATGTAATAAGCCCATATTTGGATGTAATACGCCCATATTTGGGTATGACAACATCAATCCCAAATATGGGCACATCACACAAAGTTAAGTTTGATAGTGTGGACATGCTGAGCATAAATACTGGTACATTATCTGTGATATACATATAGTAGTATTCAATATCAAGTATTCAATTTATTTCACAAAAAGAAGATAAAATAAGACAAATTCAAGTGTGGTGGGGAAACCAAAACATGAGCTAAGCTCGTACAAGAAATCGGCCACCTTTCAAAAACAGGCCTACTCAGGTACCAGTACAATACTCTGTTGTACCGTGACTTTTATATTTTACAAATAACACTATTTACCTGTAAAAAAAAACACTGTATAAGATCCCTTTTTATTGACGGAAATCTAAGATTAAATACAGTGTTTATAAAAAATATTGTATATATAGAACAAGAGGATTTATAGACATTCATGTTGTTTTTGATTTGAATTGTATTTGAAGTAAAAACTATTTTTGTCAGACCTTATACCTGTATATAGATGCACGGGATTATATAGGATAAGCTGCTATGGTTTTCTGCATTATAAACTCATTTGTGTTTTCCCGTTTGACTGCCTCAACATCGAAGTATACCAACCATTTAAATACTCATCATCGTAGTTGGTTGATACTGGTATATATTTATCATCAAGCCTTTGTATTTTATTCGGATTTCGCAGGATATTTGTTTATTCGGATAGGCAATGGTTACGGTATTTACCTATAAATACTATTAATTATTTCAAAAAAAATAATAACACGTAGTAGGTAATATTAACAATAACAACAACAGCAATAAAACAAATAGGCCTATATGATAATGTTATAAAAATAGGAATAATAATAATATAGTAACACTGTACTAATAATATACAACAACAACAACAACAATAATAATAATAATAATTATAATAATAATAATCAATATTGATTATAATGATATTAACAATAACAATAATTTTAATAATGAAAATAATAATAATTATAAATTCATGATAATGTCGTGTATACTTATAAGCATAATACTGTAAAACCTCGAATTGAAGCCCAGTGGGCTTAATCTCGAGAAGAAGCCCATCTCGAATTGAAGGCCAACTCTTTAGTTTGCAAAATTAGCCTCGATGGGCTTCTTTTCAAGATATCATAGGCTTCTCTTCGAAATAGTACAATATACACACTGCACATGAATTTCAAAAAAACAAAATAAATTAAAAACAAGCTTGGTTTATAAGTAGTAAGTAGGTGATTTAAAGCCAGTTAATACACTCCATTCACAAATTCACATAATTTACGGCATTCATTTTGAAAAGAAGCACCCTCTTTATTTTGCAAAAGTAGCCTCGAAAAGAAGTCCATCTCGAAAAGAAGCCCATCCAAAGTTCGCGAAAAAAAATAATAATAAAAATAAAGCCTAGGGCTTCAATTCGAGGTATTACGGTAATAAATAATGAGGGATTGAAACTGATCAAATTAATGAATGTAATAGAGGCAGTGAAGAGGAGAGGGGAGAGGAGAGAGGAGAGCGGGGTGAAGGCGCGAAGTGTCATTATCCTTCGAAAATTAACGAGTAGAGGAACTCGGTGCCCAAAATGATTTATTATCGACGTCACAGAGCAATTCGGTAATCGGTTAATAACGTTTTAACGATGAGATTCATTCCTAATTACTTCGGCTGGTTAATTGGCCTTCAGAATGCAACCCACACAGGACTACCAGTTGCCTGGTTATGGTAAGTGCAGGTACAGTACTTTAATTGCGTTTACTTGGCCTAAACGACACAGACGTTCAAGGTGTGCGAGAGAACAACTAAACGAAACAAGACAATTTAGTTTTTTAAGCGTTTGTCTAAAATATTATTAGCTTATATCGTTTACATTTGTTTTACTCAAATTTGTTTTTTTTATGTTAAATATTTATTTAATAGATATAGGCTTATATCCACTTTAATATTAATAAATTATTAATATATTTCTTTCTCTTTCAAATTTATATTACAACCCAAAGAATATTCCCTTTGGTCTGCCTTGGTTGTCAACCTAAAAAAGCCTGGCTGGTAGAGATAGAATCTCCAAAGATTAACTTCATCCAGTTCCTTAATTGCCGCTAATGAGCCTCCCCCCCCGCCCCTTCTTCCGGCGCTCCCTGTCACACACTCTTTTTACATCATGATATTCAGTGCCGGATTCATTGTATTCAATTTAACGTTTGAGTGTGCCATGAGGTGGTATAGACTTTTGATCTGTAAAAGTCGGTTCCTTCTATTTTGAATTCCTGGATCCGCCACTGATATTTGATATTTGATGGTTGTCACGTTAATGGTCGCTTCCCCTGGATGTATATGGGGAAGAAATGCCTATTTCTGTGACTTTTTCTGTTTTTATTCCTTTTCAATAACAGTGTCGCAGTCTTCCATACTTTCCTATCCAAACTTAGTTCTTTCTTTTTTCTTTTGTCCTTTCGATTTTTTTAGGTCTACTGCCCTTCCTTTAGGGTGCCCTGCAATATTGCACAGTTAGCGGTTAGGCCTACTTATCTCTTTCTTTTCTTAGAAATTGAAGCAGCCGGCAGCAGGCACCGCCATTTTTCTCAAAACGTATTAACATTGTTCATGTCTTTCTCGTGGCCTCGATTTGACGATGCAATTACTCTTCTTAAATTCATGATTTTCAACGAGTATCAAATTAATTAGGCCTTTATATATTTTTGCAACATTTTTCATGTCTTGAACCACAAAATGAATAGGCCTTGGTTATTCCATTTAATTTGAATGGCAAGTACTATATTAGTTTTCCAAGACATATCTAACACCACAAATTATAACAATAATAAACACCTGAAAATTGATGAACGCCATCACGATAACTGTCAATTGAAGCTATGGAGTTGAAGCGGGGGTTTCTGTTTATACATCACTCAATATTCCTTTAATAATGACAAATTTATCAATTTGTCGATCTATTCCACCCACATTTAACACATAACTCGCTGATGATGATAAATACTTTTTATTAAACCTGAAATTGTACAACTTATATCGGTTATCTAGGCATCAATTTATGTACACACATTTATCGTTAAACCCATCACAAAAAAGTGTGACGAAACACAAACATTAACAAGTCCTCAACAGGCGGGAAACAATACTACAAACCTAGCGTGAGGATGCTATAGTTAGATAATAAATTAATGTAGAGCTTCCAAAATGTCCGTACGCTACAAAGAAGTATACGTCCACAGTTATTCACTTCAAGACAAAATATAGATTTGCAATACAGTATAAACTATCTGTGAATTAATTACATTCAGTAGATAATATAACTTGTAAGCCTTTCGGGCAGTCTATCGTTCACAGAATTCATCAATTCTTCAAAAGCAGTACCGTAACGAGCTTTTGTATGTTTAAACTTTTTATTATGGAGATTATGCTCGTTGTTGGGCCGGGCATTTACTGCGATCAACAGTCGTCGGCCGACGCGATTTTATAAAGAAGTCAAAGACGCGCACGCAATCCGTTCAAACTGGCACCTATTATCAGCAGACGGCGTCGCGTCGTCTAGCGCACACAGAAAGCGGAGTTGAATTCGTTGTACGACGCAGTGAGCGCCCAGCTTTACGTGTAACAAGTACTTTAGCTGATTTTATGTATTTTAAAACATTATGATAAATTCCTAATGAGTGTCTTCTATCGATTGTTGGCAAAATATGATAGGCCCACTTATATCATTCCAAAACCCATGCAGTATCATTATATTGGTTTTTTTTTTCTGATTTCCGTGACTAGTGACGGATAGAGCTGCCATTTAAACGAACTTTGATGACGTAAACACCAACGCCAACATTGGCATAAAACGCGACGCAAACGCATTCAAGTTTGCTGACGCGGCCTGTCTTATGCGCACGCGGCGTGACGCCACAGAACTCTTCTTTTTTTTTTTCAATAGTGAGACCGTCAGCCTTGACTTGGTTTGTTTTTGAAGCGTGTATGAACTGTGCTTTGTATAAGTAGGCGTACATACTAACAAACGAATATACTTAGTTTAGGAGAATAAAATTAAATTAAGGTTGACCCATTTGTTCAATCTATGGCAGGCAGCAGGCTAATAAATCCACGCATCAATGAAAGAAAAACATCAAGGTAGATCGCTTCGCTCCCTTGCATGATCTCATCAAGTTCGAAAACGAACTGATGAGCTTGTTAGCTTCTAAGCCGCGGCTCGTCATCGGTTTTTCTTATCAATTAAGATATACTCCACCATGCTTTATAAGGAGTATTACACACGGTCCTAAATCCAGCTTAATTGAAAAGTTTGCAACGTTTTACACATAATGTATCAACAGATAACACATCATATGTGCTCTTGGCGCACACCTTCCTCGTAATCACTACTTGACCGAGATACTACCTTTTCCCGCCAACTCTGTCTAAGTAGTGTTTGTCGTCTGTAAGTGTATACTTGTTTCAATCAGTTTCTTCAAGTGCCAATTACTTTACGAATGAATCGAAAGACAGATTTTAAACTTCATACACAAGTAATTAGATAGGCATATTCCCTTTCTACACTGACTTCTGTTTCTATCGGTTATAGGCATGCCTACTCTCGCAACTGACTGCTCGTTACTAAATTGTAATTTAGAAAGTTTAACTCTCGATCCTCAAGTACACAAGCCTCGACAAAATAGTTAATCTTCGTATTGTATCTAGTTACGTAAATAAGTTTAAAATTTGGGCCACAAACTTGTCCGTTTCACTCATTAGGCCCCTACCTATCATGTAAATACAAATTTTGTTCTGATGTTGAGTCTTCTTCTTTACTGCCAATAATTTCTATTTCTGATTCTGATTTCTCCGTTTCCTTAGAAATTAAAAACTCTTCTGTCTTCTTAAGCTGTTCGTCACATTTATCTATATATTCGTTTTCTATGCATTGTTTAGTTCCTGCGGTATCAAAAGTGTTAGCACTATCACCACTGTTGTCATCAGTGGGCTTTTGACGGTTTTCGTCGCTGCTGGACCGCTGCTCGTTTCGTTTTAGCGATTCCAAGTGCTTTGGTCCACCAATCTTATGTTCTGCAGCTTCTGAGTTCGAAATTCCTTCCAACTTCTTCCACTTGGTACGACGATTTTGAAACCATATTTTTACCTGAAATGGAAAAAATTACGGATGAATATTTTAAGTGTTATGAACTTGTGTGGTAACCATGGCATAGCTGTACGGTATCATTTATTAGAATTTAGTTAGAATTGAATAGGAAGTGGGGTTTCCTTTCCCGTCCACCAATCTGCGACTCCACAGATATGACAATTATATCCAATATTAGGCTAATATTTATTTTTCTCTACAAATAATATTCTATTTATACAGTATTTAACTTTCTTATTCGGATGTTTTTGTTTGTTAAAAAGTTAATTGTATCCATCGTCAATTATAGGGCCATCATTCGTTGGGACCGATTAGGAAAGTCAAAAATTGTATTTATTAACAATAACAACGCAGCTATTTTTATCCGGATTTATTTCCAGGGTATTCGTCTCAAAAAAGCCGCAATAATCCGCCAAAGATTGTCTGGTTTGTTGTATTTGTTTTTGAACGACCTAGGCCTGTGGATATTCATCGCCGAATTCTCAAGCGTCAAATCAGCCTACCGTTAACGAGCTGTTGTGTCGCGCAGGCCGAATCAAAATAGCATTGTGCTCTCCAGCTACCAACATGTCAACAAACAGGCTGTTGGCTCAATTTTTTGTTTGACGAAGATTCATAAAAGTTGATTTTGCCCCTTATTTGCAACCGAATAAATGTGTCGACTTTACGATCAAACGCGCACGGTTACGAATTTTCACGAAGGAGTTCCTTGTCGTCGTAACAACTTCAACAATGAATATGATGATGAGAAGAATGATGTTCATAACAGTTCATTTGCAACAATACCGTACTTATAGAGCTAATACAATAGGCCCACATCCAAAACATGATCAACGCAAGTAACAACAGTAACGATGAGTAGTTAATCTTCATAATTCTAGGACTATGCCTAATCATCATCATCATGCATCATCATCGTCATCATCATCATCATCATTAAGATTGTCTTATTATTATTATTATTATTATTATTATTATTATTATTATTATTATTATTATTATTATTATTTATTTATTTAATAACATCTTTAGCCAAGATGACACAATTATTTGTGAAATGCTTTTCCTGTTGCTGTTGTTTGTTTGCCTCGTCAATCAGCCGGAAATATTAAATAGGCCTATTTAAAAAAAAATATATTTTAAATTAAAATAACTTTTATATAATTATGTGTTCCATCTGTTACCAAAGACAGTACTTAAAAAGGAGCATCAATGTACACAGGTGTATAGGCAGGTAGGCATAGGCTTATAATATGTTAATATGTCGAAAAACTTCTTAAAGGTATTCAGGGACGATCGCGCCTTAAGGCCCACAGTAGCCAGCTGTAGTATGTCTACATTGAAAATAATAATTTTACAAAGCAACCGACGTGACAAGATTGAGTTAAACAGATTGGTTTGTCTTTTAAACTTAGGGGAGTGAGGCTATGAAGAAGGTTCATTCAGCGTAACCTCTGCAAGTCACTCACGATAAAGAGGAAAATAGGCCTAGGTTGTTTTTTACTCTAGGCTAATGGCCTACAAAGGACGCACTTTAAGAAGTTAAATGAAGAGGAAAATGCGCTCACAATGCATAAGCTTTTGACGAAAGAACTTCTTTACACCTCCAGCGCAAGGATACATTCAACTCATTGTAAGATTATTTAGCAAAGTAGTCTGCAACAAAGGGCGCGTAACGCACGACGATTTAAACAGGAATCTAAAATATACATAGGGCCTAGACATCACAATTGTTCCGATTACCACCCACTTATCCATTTAGACTCAAATTAAAATTAAATGTTACAATCTCTTGAAATTGTACCACGGTGGTGTGTCAATGTCTTTAATATTCGCTCACATTTGACACAACAAGTTCCCCAGGGTAATGTCAATGTTGTGGTGTGGGGGCGTGGTTTTATCTTGCGTGGACGTTTGTCACATAAGAGGTGGGGTTGATTGGTCAATTATTTAGATGTTAAATTTACTCCTACGAGAAAATACAGTAGGCCTAGGCATTTGGTCGCCTGTGACTCTTTTCAATCCCAGACGACCGAGGACGGCGTATCATCGCTTTAAAAAGGAATCAGACTCTTCTACGACTAAACGGTAATTTGCTTTGGCCTTAAAGCTCATAATTTGACATTCACAGCATCAATATTAGTATGTTTACATTCTATCAACTCTATGGGTATTGTGCGAATGAAAAGAATATGTAGGCGGCCTGTAGGCCTAGTATCGTTAGTAGCTAAACGGAGTTGATATTTAATTTTAATTGTCAATTCGGTACACGCAAGCAGTTGACAGGACCATATTAATACGCCTCTCTATAGTTTGCATAACTCACTCAAATTTAATCAGTAATTATATTTGTCAGACGATTTCAATGAATCATCATTAGTCAATTTGGAAAAAAAAACACCGGGCTAGTTAACGGAAAGTGATTTTTTTTTATTCTCTCTTTCTCTCTCTCTCTTAATAATACGAATACGGAACGAGTGTTGACAAACGAGTGGTATTCTTAACTGCTGACAGCATAATTGATTCCGACCCCCCATTTATTCCCAATGGCTTACTGAAATGCAAATATCCTTGGTTCAATTATGTGTTTGGAAGGCGTTTAGATATCTAGACGCGCGCGCGATCACTGTACCGACAGTAAGCACGTGATTTTGACGTAAATGAAAAATAATTCAACTATCGGTTTGATAATGTGATTCCCGTTGATTATTATTTATACTATATTTAAAATTAATTAATTTGTTCACCAATCTATCGTTGTTCGCCGAATATATACCGTACATGCGCTAAACCGTAAATCAAACATGGTATGATTACGCAGGATGGGATGATCCCAATGCTAACAATTACGATATGATTGCGGATTAACTAATCAAACCACGATTTTATTGCGGATAATTAGCCGATTTAATGATCACTATTTGATTGTGGATAATGTAACATAAGGTGCTGAGTATTTAATTAGGTCTATAGGTTGTCAAGGTGGTCACAATGCGTGCGGATCAGACAATTATATTAATCAATATTTGACCGCCAGTCGTGATGACCACTCGGTACATGCGTATGCCTTTGATTGAGTACCGGTATAAGCCTAATTATAGTTATTTCTATAGTATATTTGGTGCCTTTCGTAGTAACAGCCGGTGAAAAGAAATAGGGAATCAATTCTAGAGGATGAGAAATTACTCCTACGTTTCATTAGAATTCCATGTGGTATAATTGCTTTGAATTCCAATATTATATACGCCTAGGCCTATGTTGCATATATACAATATAGGTTATATAGACCTATACAGGCCTATATTATAGTAACTGCGGGAGGATGTTAAAATGTTTTATATTTAATTATTAATTAATTAATATTATTCTTTTTTATTGTTTTATTTATGTTATTAACAATTGTTTCTTAAACGAATTCCCAATTTTGATTGGATGATATTGTGTGTATGGATTGAATTCTGCATGCTTTTAGTCCATTCTCAATTGTAAAATTGTTGATTTTATTTATTTATTTCATAACACATAATACATAACACAAGTAACAAAGGAAATATAAATAGAAAAACAAAGAAATTAATAATTAAAAAAAAATAAGTACCGGTAAATAAAAAATTTAAAAAAATAAAAAATAAAATAACTAAGTAACAAAGGAAAAGAAATTATTACATATAGATATATTATATAAATAAAAATTTAAATTAAAATCAAATTGACTATAAAATAATTAAAAGCAGAATAAAAAGGCACAAAAAAGCAAAAAATAACAAAGTTAAAAATAAGATTTAAAAAAAAATTATATATATTTATAAGTTAAAATAATAACATAACACAAGTAACAAAAGAAATATAAATAAACAAAGAAATTAAAATGAAAAATTATAATAAAAACCAAGTAACAAAGGAAAAGAAATTATGACTATAAATACGATCGAATAGCACACATGTGTACATACACACATGGATAAATTTCCATGCACGATATAGGCCTGGGCCTACCCACCTGAGTATCGGTAACTTTTAACATAGACGCCATTTCAGCTCGTTCGCTTGCCGATAAATACTTTTTCCCTTCGAACTGCTTCTCGAGTTCAAATATCTGTCGTCCAGTGAACGTGGTCCGAGCCTTTTTCTTTTTCTCGATAGAGTCACAATCCTTTGGTAATTTTCTTTTTGCTGCTTTCTCTCTGGATTTGTCGGAATCTGAAATGATAGAAAAAACCAATATGGGGAGATAATAAAAACTGAACTATTACATTATAATTAGAAGTGATGATCGCTCCTAAGATATTTTCCTGACGCAAATCCATATCTTAATATAGGCCTATTATAATTTCAATTTACTCAACAATCCTCCAGAAGGAGAGAACATTTTAGAATGCAAATTAAAAACAGAAAACAAAACATTACAAAAAAGTTTACTGAGATTTGTCCATCTTTGCACCGGATGGTGTGGTCAGATACCTAAACGCTTTTATAAGAATGGGCTGAGGGGTACTGGGGCAGTCCATCAACTTTTTGATTTCGGAGCAAGCAATTCCACAATTACGCTACCTGCTCGACAGCTTGGTAGAGGTAACATAATTATATATATATTCGAACATTTCATAAAATATCGTAGCTGTTTTTAAATAACACTTTCAGAACCGGGAGAGGAAGAGGTTCGGAAAAACCCCCCAATTATTTCACATCACGTGTGAATATGTTGATTCGTAGCCCAACATTTGAATTGTCTCATTTGAAAATTTACTTAAGAGCAGAGTGTAGGTAGACCTATATAATATAGGCCTAGGCCTATATGATATAGGTGTAAGCCCTAGACCTTTGTATTAGGCCCCATAAATAAATTGATATTATCCTGTTAGGTATATTGCAACAAACGTTAGGACTATCATTATTTTGTAATTCATATAGGCCTGGTGGCAATAACAGTAATTATCGTAGTATTTGTTACTAATTTAACGATTTCATTATTTGCTTTACATTGGATGAAGGCCAATAGAACCTTTTAAGCCTACTTCATACAGTAATTACCAGAATTATCGCTTACAGTATAACATATGGTAAGTTTGCTATCACGTGACAGTGACGCACGCCCAACCAAATACCCTTGTGGGGCGTCACGACAGGCAACGCGAGTTCATTGAAAAAATATATTATTCCAGTAATAGACTAATCACGGAGAGGGAAGTTGCGTGGTGCTGGTGCCTGCTGCCTCGGTAGGCTATTTTTAATTGATTCTAAATTACTGTGCCGACGACCTGGTTTTCAATAACGATATAAAAAATGACCCGTCACTTCAAAGGGTTACCGACTTTTCGAGTAATTACACTTTACTCCATGTATCTTTCCTGTGCTGCTAACAACAATGCTGTAAATTATTAGGCGACGAGCAATTGTATTGTTGCTATCCCGTCTGAGCGATAGAAAACGACACCCTAGTTGTGGTATACCGGGCCTTTTATTTTTTTAGGTACAGAATAACTCCTTTTGGAGTTAAAACAACTCCGTGAAAACAACAATGTATGCAACAACTCAGCATTTCCAAATAATTTCACATTATATAATAATAGTCGCCTAGACCTACCAGCAAACTAATGATGATGTAGCAATATTTATATGGCAGAAACACTTTGAGGTCACTTAATCCAAAAACATGTCTTCATAAATCACTTATTCAACTATTATATAAACAGATTCATTTTTTAACTTCTCAACTTAGTGTTCCATAATTCCTAATTATTAGGCTTACGACTACTATCAAAAATCATGCGTAATTCCGGATGGATAGTCATTAGAATCGTATAGGTACTGTACATAATTGATTGAGAACAGAGTAAAAAACCCTGATTAATTGGTTAATTGTTTGAGAAATTATTAGATCACTTAGGAGGTGTCTAACGATTAGGAACATGTTCTATAATTTCCTGCTAATGTCATGAACAATGGCACTTAGACCATCCGTGAAATAGTAAAATGGCGTGATAGTATTATAAATCAGCATGAGACAGCATGTCATAAAGATATTAATATTGACGAATATTTTTTTTTGTCAATTCAGGAAGTTAATTTAAAGATAAAAAGGAAACTGTGACGTGAACATACTAACCTAATAGCTATAGAAACTTAGACCCGCATTTCGCAGGGGATTCCATAGTGCAAACAATTTAGAGCGCCTGAGATTCGAACACTTGCGATCAAAGGTCCACGAGAGAGAGGTTAACACAGCGCTTGCGAATCGGACACTTGTGACCTCCACTCGGGTCCGGCTATTGACCAGTCATTTCTCAGTGGCAGATAGAGGGGTAGTAAGGGGAGTAGGCCTACGCGATAAGGGCAGTACGCCCCCTCTCTTGTTTGTAACAAAAATAGTTTTGTTAATATTATCAGAAAATCACCAATCTAAATAGTAAAAATCAATCATATACTAAAACGCCATATACAACCTGAGATTAATGAAGATGCTAGTGGTTTAAAGGAGATTTTCCACTTGCACCCCTATTAAAGGCTCTTCTCTGAGACTCTCAATCAGATCGTACATACACTCCCCCTCTTCCATACCGGCCTGGATCCGCGGCCCCTGATCTCTCTCGTATCCACAAGGCCTAGGCCTATCACTATGTTTTCGAATAAGTGTTCTGGTAATTAATAATCATTACCTTAATACATTATAGGCCTACCCCCGATCCCCTAAGAGCTGAGTAGGCTTCTAAGGCAATAACATTGCCGCATCCACATAGTCACACCCAGCTCCCGGGAGCGAGTTCCTTAAGTTCTGTTCAAGGGTTGCGAAGCACTGACACGTGTCACGTGTGGTGGCATGAAATCGGCATTTTGTTCGAAAGGTACAAAAACCGTTTCCATTTCAATAGCATTATTGTTTCTTTTAATCCATTATAACATGGATGAATCAATTAACTGTAATATTACGATTTAATGCTGAGCAGCAATTGTGTTCAATGTTCTGTTTTCTTAGCCATCACCCGATATGTAGTTTATTTCTACTTAACAGAGATTATAAAGGAGTTTGTACTTAAACGGCCATTAGATACCTCGTATCACCATCGTCATAACCATTTTCTATTCGACTAAATCGCTTTTATTGTCTACAATTTTGGACCAAAATACTCACTGCAAATCCATCTTTCACAATCGCTTTCATTCAATCTCATTTTTTGTCTCGATTAGTATTTTAGAATAATATTTTCATAGTGGCTCTTCTACGGTAATCAATAAAATATAATGTTGCAGAAATAGTATCCAGTGATTGATTTAACTAGGTTAAATAATTATGTAGTGATCGGTTGCCTGTGTATTTAAAAAAATAGGTTGTTTTAGTAGACATTTGCACGCGGACTGGCGGGCAATATTCGCCGAATCGCCGTGTTTAATTGCTTCTAATAGCTCTCTCCGCGCCGGGTCATAAATTTCCTGTAATCATCTTCGCATTATTGTATGCGACGAAATTACTAGTTTAGGGCTTTTGTTGTTTTTCTTTTGAACTAATACCGTATTCTTTCTAATCGACAGGTTGAAGCGAGAGTCTGTGTTTTCAACAACAATAATAATAACAAGACCTAATATTAATATTATTATTAATCTACTCAAAAGCCAGCTTACTAAAGTTTACCTGATTTGGATTCAAGAAAAATGACAACACAATAACAAGCATATGGATTTGTGGTTTAATTACTTTACGTTAGTTAATGATGCACACAACCCGTTGGGTGGTATAGTACTATGTAGATATATCAGTGTATGAATTAGTATCTCTCGATTACTGCATACTGCGTGATATTATGCTGTTATGGTTACGCACATGTAACATAACTGTCCATTTATCACAATCACAATACTGTACAGTGTTCCTAATGCAACTGGTGTTTACCAGATGCATAGCTATATAGGCTTGCTGGTTGTGTATATAGGCACTACATAATGTATATGAT